GCATTCAAGAAAACACATTATTCACACCAACAGTTAATTCTGACAATAGGAAGTAAACATTCACGGTTTCAAATTACAATGCACAGATAAATCTAAAATTTTAGTTAATTCGGTCCAAGGATGACCATTACTAATCATGCATGCATTTACACAACCCTTAGGGTCAAATACCAATTGGAACCTTCTCAGTTCCAATTTGCTTTGCTTGTATCCCTTCAGTCGTAACCACAGCGTCCGGTTCACTTTGTTGAGATACCAATTGAAATCGAGAGATACCAATTGGACTAAACTCATACCACAAGCGACACTCGCACGAAAGGAGAGAAAAGTTGGAACAACTTCTTAAAATGCTTTCTAGCTTCTTGAAGATTAGATGTGGACGTCAACACTCTAATCCGCAGGAGTCTAGTCCATATTTTGATCTTGTACTTGGAGACCGGTAACCTGGGCTCTGATATCAATTTGTCACGACCCAACTGATCGAGTCGTGTGGGCACCTACTCTAAAACCTAAGTAGGAGAACCCTCGATTCCCAACCATTTTAAAAACATGTGAAAGACTTAAGGAAACTAAGATAAAAATAACTTCATGGAGATTTACATAAAATAAGAGTTTAACAATTCAGAGTTAAGACTTGTAAAGTAATTAACACCCCATGGATCTAGTCTAAACAGGTACAAGAGCTACTAAGAGTACAAAGTAAAACATAATAAAGAAAAGACACAGCTCCTACCATGGGGAAGAAAAAGTAGAAGTTGCTGGAGATTTCATTCGTTTTCACCTATGAAGCATCACTAATCCTGCAACTAGACTATGCCAAAAGGCATAGCAAGAGTAGTATCAGTACAACCACACGTACTGGTAGGCATCATCGGTCAACCCGAATACCCACCGCATAATATGAGAAATTAACTGGTGAAACATGCAATAAGACTGTTCATTCCTCCACCTTTATAGTTCCATATCTTTACCATATTCGGATACTTAAATCCCACTAGTACACGTGTCTCTAACCCCTTACTCATTATGTTCTTGACTTTAACTTATAACTCCAAATTACGCCTATTGAGGCTTACTATCTGTTTTATATTACTACCCCCTCACGGGGAAAAACCCAACTATAAACACTATCACTAAATATTACCTCAAACCTCAACAATAAAACCCATGACCACATTCAAATTAACAAGGATAGCACCGGGACCCTTAGTTCCCCCTTACCATACTGCAACCCGATTTGGAACTCTACCAATCACAATTCACTACACAAACAGAGATCTCCAATTAACTTACAACGTCACAATCCACACATATGCCTATATATATACTACGCAACCTAGTTATCATGTCAGGAATCAATGTACAATTCCACATTCTCAATAATACACATATATGACAAGTCAATGGTTCTCTCATGAAACTCATACCCAAAATGTTAGTGTGTCAGATCGTGGTACCCAATCCAATATGTATGTTGGTACGTGACATCCGATCCAGTTAGTGTGCCGGAACATAGCACCCGATCCAATGCAAGTTAGTGTATCGGTACGTGACACCCGATCCAAGTTAGTATGTTGGAACGTAACACCCGATCCATTGAACATACCACAATCACAATGTACATTCTCATAATCATACAATCAAGTGTTGATTTATGGCATACAATTATTCATTCATACTCATTTATGATTATTGTGATCAATAATGCAATATTCGCATACATACATGCATTAAAATAAAGTAGTTACTAACATACATCACACCAACATGAAATCACAACCATCACCTACCCCTAGTTCATCGACTAAGGCTTTCTGCTACGGTATACGTCTGATTGAATACCTAGGGTATAAGTACAAACATCTTGTTTTGGTGCACGAAAGCCTATGCATGAATTCTACCGTCAAATTCAATACCACACGGTGAATAACAGATTTATAACTACTAAATCAAATAAACCTTGCCTACCTAGGTGCCAAGCAGTTGCACGAAATTATGTCTTCGATTCTTGTTTCCAGACGTCGTGACGGTGGATTTGACCAAGAATTCACAAGTTATCGACCTCATCACGCTAGAAATCTCCTTATCCTTCCTTCCTAAGCTTAGAGAAACTTTTTGAGGGTTTCTAGGGTAATCCTCGCCTATTTTTGGTGTTTTGGGAAAAGGGAGAAAATAAGGTTTCGCGTTATTTACATTCTGTCTCACACATCCCGCTCTGGTGGCTACTTATCCCGCTACAGCATTGCCGCACTAGCAGCATTTGGCCCGCTCTAGAGGGACAGTGTCCCCAGTATTTCCTGACGTTTTTCGTTTCCTAATTAACGACGATTCGGGTTGTTACATGGTGAGACTATACATACTGCTCTCCCAACTTCATACAAAGGGTCTCGTAGAGTTATTTCAAAAAGAAAATCTGAAAGTCATTTCACCAAATATTCATGGGCTAACTAACACACACAAAAATTGAAAAAACTGCCTAGCTAATTCCTATAAAATGGCTCCTAAATGGCCAAAAATACCGCAAATCATGGTGAGGCTATAAGTAATGCTCCCCAAATTCCTTACGGAGGGTCTCGTAAAGTTTTTTTCGAAAAATCATTCGGAAGCCATTTCACCAAATATTCATGGGTTAATATACATCAAAAATTGGAAAAGCCTAATTCCTATAGAATGGCTCTTAAATGCCCAAACGCCATGGATAATAGTGAGGCTATACGTACTGCTCCCCTAACTCCTTATGGAGGGTCTCGTAAAGTTTTTTCAGAGAAAATCATCTTGAAGCCCTTCACCAAATATTCATGGGCGTTAACACACGGAAATCTAAAAAAACTCACCTAATTCCTATTAAATTGCTCATAAATGCCAAAAAATATCACGGATCATGGTGAGACTATATGTACTACTCCCCAATTTCTTACGGAGGGCTTCATAAAGTTTTGTAAAAAAATCACTCAAAAGTCATTTCTTCAAATATTCATGAACTAACTAACACCCGGAAAAAAATTGAACAATTCACCTAACTTCTAGAGATATCACATGATGACAGCTAAAAGAATACTCAGGTGGTATTATCGTAGTGATAGATTCACACATAATTTGATAAGAGTATTATCTATTTGATAGTGTCAAATAAACATTGCACTAATTATGCGGCAATTATAATTTTACCATGCGACAACCAATTAATTAAAATATTGTATTATATAGATTTTAATGTAGTTATGTGTTTCTAATAGAATCCCATAACTTATTATCATTATTTGATAGTCTTTTTGCATCTGGTAGTAACACCATCTAGTTCTGTTCACACCTAATTGAAAAGCAACAGCATTGATTAAGCCTTTGTATTTTGTGTTTGCATCATATATCACTTTTTCAATCTTGAAATTCATATACTTTCCAGTGTTACATTTTAATGTAGTTATTTGTTTCTAACAGAATTTCATGTATTGTAGACTAGCCGTATTTGGAGGGTCATAATTATTGTATTTTTGAATAGTAACATTAAAATCTATATTTATTGGACTTTATGTAACAACGTAGCTATCTAAAATCTTAATGCAATAACTAATTGATACTAACTTTCCATAAACTTAACTTGAAGATTGTTTTTTTTTTAGATTTTAACAGAATCCCATATACTATAGACTAGCAGTATTTGGAACGTCAAAATTATTTTATTTTTGAATGGTAACATTAAAATCTATATTTATTGGACTTTATGTAACAACTTAGATATCTAAAATCTTAATGCAATAACTAATTGATACTAACTTTTCATAAACTTAACTTGAAGATTGTTTTTTTTTAGATTTTAACAGAATCCCATATACTATAGACTAGCAGTATTTGGAGCATCAAAATTATTTTATTTTTGAATGGTAACATTAAAATCTATATTTATTGGACTTTATGTTACAACTTAGATATCTAAAATCTTAATGCAATAACTAATTGATACTAACTTTCAATAAACTTAACTTGAAGATTGTTTTTTTTTAGATTTTAACAGAATCCCATATACTCTAGACTAGCAGTATTTGGAGCATCAAAATTATTATTTTTTTTGAATGGTAACATTAAAATCTATATTTATTGGAATTTATGTAACAACTTAGATATCTAAAATCTTAATGCAATAACTAATTGATACTAACTTTCCATAAACTTAACTTGAAGATTGTTTTTTTTTTAGATTTTAACAGAATCCCATATACTATAGACTAGCAGTATTTGGAGCGTCAAAATTATTTTATTTTTGAATGGTAACATTAAAATCTATATTTATTGGACTTTATGTAACAACTTAGATATCTAAAATCTTAATGCAATAACTAATTGATACTAACTTTCCATAAACTTAACTTGAAGAATGTTTTTTTTTAGATTTTAACAGAATCCCATATACTATAGACTAGCAGTATTTGGAGCGTCAAAATTATTTTATTTTTGAATGGTAACATTAAAATCTATATTTATTGGACTTTATGTAACAACTTAGATATCTGAAATCTTAATGCAATAATTAATTGATACTAACTTTCCATAAACTTAACTTGAAGATTGTTTTTTTTAGATTTTAACAGAATCCCATATACTATAGACTAGCAGTATTTGGAGTGTCAAAATTATTTTATTTTTGAATGATAACATTAAAATTTATATTTATTGGACTTTATGTAACAACTTAAATATCTAAAATCTTAATGCAATAACTAATTGATACTAACTTTCCATAAACTTAACTTAAAGATGGGTTTTTTTTTTTTTAGATTTTAACTACATCTATTTAGGTAAGTCATTAATGAATACCTTAAAAAACAGATTATGCAATTTATTGATTTTTTCTATATTTTAGTCAGGCTAATTCAACAACTTACCATTATTTAATTATGTGGTCTTATAGACATCTATAAATATAAGTCAAACACTGTTATTTTTTATTCAGAGATAGAAACTCACTCATACATTCTACTCTTTTATATTTTGTGTACTAAAATATGTCTAGAAAGAGGGTGTGTTTGACCACTAGCGATGTTGATGAGGGAATTAAGAGAAAACAAAAATTGGATGAAAAATTAACATCACTATGTAAGAAAGCATACGAGCTATCCATTCTATGTGATGTAAAGGTCGGAATAGTTATTTCTATTCCGGAAAAAACCGATGTTTTTGCTTGGCCGTCTTTACCAGAGGCTCAGAAGATAGTAAATGATCATATAGCTTTTCCAAAACACAAGGTAACTATACATAACAACTTTCTTCAATCAATTGTCGAAAAACGGGAAGAAGAAGTTAGGAAAGTAGAGGAAACTCTTGAGAAGATGGAAATGGAGAACCTCTTCAATGAAATTTTCAAGGGAAACAAACTCTTAAATGAAGTAAATGTTGGGGAAATAAAGGGTTTGTTAAAGTTAATTGATGTTAAGAGGGTTCAATTTGAACAAAGGAAGATACAAGTTAATGAGGTTGTTGCTAATAACAATGTTGGAGAAGAAAATAATGTTGGACATCCTTAGAATGTTGATTGTGCATTTAATGCTTTTTATTTTTCTCGTCTTGTCTTTTAATTACATTTTCTAGTTACATGTTTGTTGCTTTTTGTTCATCTTTTCATGTTATTCTCGTCATTTTAGTGATATATGAAATATATTCTATAAAAATGTAGTTCATTTACTACAAAAAAAAATGTTAAATTGTTTTACATTTCCTTTTGAATGGGTGTAACTTTTGAAATTTGCTTATTCTTTATTGTTAATTTACAATTATACGAAATTTCATAATCTGACTTATCAAATCGTTGTTATAATAACAACAACAGAAGTAGTATTATTTTTATCATAAAATACATAGGTATTTAGAGCCATAATTTTCACTATCAGTAAATTGTTAATTTCCGATGGAATTGGTAGAATTTGAGTCACCAATAATGTTTTGAGTGTATTTTCATGTAAACAATCCTTACCAACGAGCTAAATTCCATAAAAAAAAAATTGGCACTTTTTTTATCTAATAGTATATTTTAATTTTTTTTTATTTTTAATTGTATTACAAGTCTATGATCCTACAAAAGAGAGCACGCCTTTATGAAAAAGAAAATATCAATTAAACATTCTTGAGAAAAATATATTTGCTAAACACATAGTCGGAGCCATGATTTTAAGCGTTGAAATTCGAATTTTAGTTAATCCATATATTGCTAAATGCATGTATTCATGTTCTATATATAATAGTGCATACAATACAACAAAAGAAACATACAGTGGCAATAGATTTTCCTTATATCATTGCATCCAAAATTGTCTTTAGCAACAGCTATTTATATATATTATTATCGCTAAATATAATAGAGCGGCAATTTTTTTTATTGCATCTAAATCCTTTATTTATCGTAATTATAGATTCACACATAATTTAATAAAAGTATTATCTATTAGATAGTGTCGAATAAATTTTGCACAAATTATGCGGCAATAATAATTCTACCATGCGACAACCAATTCAACAAAATATTATATTATACAAAATTTTATGTAGTTATTGATAGCTCCAATCTCTCAAGTAAACTATAACACCGCTGAAATTCCAACTCATATCAGACCTTGAAATAAATTTCTTCAGACTGGTGTCACGGAAAGCATCTATGGCTCTTAGAAGTATCTACTGACCATAGGTGAGTTCGTAGAACCATACTCTAAAATATTGCTCTCAAGTCCAAGTTTCACGAACCAGACTAGAGCTCATAGAACCTTCTACAGTTCGTAGAAGGGCCTCGTGGACTCCAAGTCTTGAAACACCCTGTAAGCTTTCTACGATTGAACAAGACTGCTCGTCAAAGTTCCTAGGGGCCATAGAAAGGATCTATAGACCCCAACTTCAGAGATCCAGAACCCAACTTGTTTCCTATGAGAGGGTCTACGGTCTGTAGACTTTTGTACGGATGGTAGATGGCCTTCCGTAGACGACTTCTATCAGTTTTTGACAGGGGCTATTTTTAGTATTTTCCCACCCTTTCTAATCTTATACCCCAATTACCTAATTAAGGTCACAAGAAACCCATAGCACAAAGTTTAGTTGGAAGCTTTCTTATTGATTAAGTGTTGATATAAGATTATACTTAGGTCAACTTCAAATGATCATATCTCTCAGCATTTAATGAATTAGGTAGCTTATAATTCATCAAATTAAAGGCCTATGAATTTTCTGTCCAATGCCACAAAGTTTGCATCATTTTGAGTTTGGAGTAAAAAGTTATGCTCGTTTTAGTGAATCCTTGTCAGGAAGTCGAAGTTCTACGTAGAGCCTTTCGTGAAGGGTTGCTGCACTTTTTTTTAGGAACTTCCTGCACGTGTTCCAAGGCTATTTTGGTCCTTTCCCAAGCTTTCTAACCCCATTTTAAGTCATTTTGGGTGTTTTAACGGAGTATATCATTCAAGTAATTAGATTTCCTTCAAAATCATCAATCTAAACATTCAAGTATCTAGAAATTCTATCAAAACTCACCTAGGGTTCCTCTTCTCAATCAAGAACCCTAGAACTTCCATGTCAAAAATTCAAGATACAAAGAGAATCCTTCCACCCAAGGTTTTCCCAAGTTTTTCCACTCTAAGAACTTCATAAAAAAGTTTCTTCTCTCAAGATCAAGCACCAAGATTCCTAGATCAAAGATTTCCTGATAGAGCATCGAATAACTCTGTCAATTAAGATAAGAATCGGATAAAAATAAATTTTACTTAGTATTTTTGACGTTTTACTTCATTGATCGCTACATCACACTCCTAGTGCAATAAAAGGCAAAATATGCATCACACTCGTAGTGTAATAAATGGTAGAGCATGGATAACATCTTTTTTAGTTGTAAAGAATACATTATCTTAGGAGTAGAAGAGCATGTGATGTATTTGGCAACTTATTAAAAATGGTTCTGAGGTTGGTGGTGAATTTATCAATTGGACGTGAAATCGGCCTTCCTACATATATGGTGAATTGCAAGATAAGGTATATGTTGATCAACCCCATGGTTACATTAAATATGGGAGCGAAAATGAGGTTTGCAGATTGAGAAAAGCATTATATGAGCTTCGTATAACAACAACACTCGAGTTAAAGTGGCATTTCATTGAACACACATGCAGTGATATGACTTTTTGATAAATCAGAGAATTGCATAGAACAACACATAGTTAAAAGGATGAAACAGAACACAAAGGATATTGAACTGATTCAATAAAAATGCAAACAAAGGTTATGAAATAGTAGCAACGAAAAACAGAGAAAGTGAATTAGGAGAGAGGAGGTGCATCTTCGCCCTCAGAGTCATCCTCTTCATTTCTGGATAGAGCCTGCTCCATGGCTTCTCTTGCAGAATTAACAGCAGCGTTAGCTTCAGTAATAGCCAACGGAAGATCAAGGCCGTCTTGAATCTCATGAAGGGTGTTCAACCGGGTTTTTAGAGCCACCCAATTCCTGTCCATTTCAGCTTCATACTTATCAGTGTTGCGTTTCACCTGCAATGCGTTTAGCTTAGCTTCAACTCGAGCTCTGTCATGAACCAATGCCAAATCAGCCTCTAACTTGGCCACCTTTTGTTGCAAGGTATAGTGCGTGGAGTGAAGAATAGCGTATCTGTCCTTCCTTAAAGAGACTTCCTCGAGTAGATTCTTGTTGGCTTTGGTTAGAACGTACAATTCAACTTCATTCTCCTCTTTCTCCCATTGAATCTCTTGAAGTTTTTGGTTCAAAGAGGATGTCGTAACCTTTAGAATCTCATTGTCAATCTCGAGCCTTTGATTCTTTGACCGGAGCTCATTTGCCTCAGCCTGGGAAACCCCACGTTTTCGATTTTCTACAACCCTCGTCATCATACTTTGAATGTTAGTAACAGCGGTCCCACATGAAGGAGGCAACTTGACAATGGGACCTACAAGAATCTCCAAAAATAAAATAAATTAAACACATCGGAAATAGTATAAAACAAAACAATATATAGACAAGTGTTTGTTCTTATAGACACTTACCGTGGTTTTTGTCTATAGGGGCTTTTCCTATTCGACGTTGTCGTTGAACAATTTCTTTTTCACTCCTCTCCTCATTGGGAGGAGACGGATGTGAGCTGTCCGTCAAGGATAGGGAAGATGAATGTTAGGACAAAACACATATTTCATTGCTAATGAAAGAAAACAAGTATCGTATCGAATCGAATTGACCTTAGTACACACATGGTTCCGTGGGAAATATTTTCCATGTCATTTTCTTGTAACATGTTGTAACGTGAGAACCAATTTCTTGGAACCTAATCGAATAAATGTACAAAAATTAGCTTGTAATTATATTTATGTTGATTTACAAAAAAATAATGTGAAGTATTTGAAAATGTAACAATTTATATGCATCAATTGTTGAAAGAAAAAAAGAGGAATAAATTACCATAAGAGCTTTGAGAGGATCAGTGGATGACTTAGTTGCACTATCAGAGAGAGTCTTTTCGTTTGACGACATTTTTTTAATCATATCCTGTAAAATAAATTGAGAATTACAAAATAGACAAAAAGATTATATTAACGTCATGCAATTTAATTATTGTGATCGTGAAAACATACAAGATTGTAGCATGTAGTAAAATCTATAATTAAAGATATATTAAAGTCTAGAATATTAGAAAATATTAATCAAACAAAATGAAAATCACACACACAGACAAGTTTTTTAATAGCTTATATTTTACAGAAGATATTAATATGAAAGTTCAGTACTTTTAGTATATATTTATATTACTACATGTTGTTAATGCCACTAAAGATTTGTGTCGTGAAAATCTATGTTGGATTGTTGCAATTAGAAGAATTCATTTTTATGTAATTAATATTTTGATACATAAAACTTTTTTAATAAAAAATCATTAATTCTAACTGAGACATTCTATTATTTTAATTTATAGTAGTCTAAAAATGTAGTTGCCATCCAACTCTTGCTTATTCATACAATATTTGTCTAATTTGAACCCAAAAAAAAATTGTTTAAAAAATAAAAATAATAAAAATAAAAAGAGGAACGATGGGAAATGATAAAATTAGAAAATCTTTTAGGTTAAAGAAAAATAATTAAAGATTTTCCTTTTTTGTTCACAGCAACTCACCTCTGATTTAGGTAATTGAATTGCCACATCATTATTGATTTCAAAAAGATGTATATTTAAGGACTTGCTACAATAGAATATATTCAAGAAAATATAATCTAGAATTTTTAACACAGTTTATATGGATAAAATAATTTTATTTAAAATCTAAAAATAAATAAATAAATAAATACAGATGTATGAAACAAAAATAAAGAAAATAATCCTAATTTCTTTAGGTTATCTTTGAAAGTGATTAACTTTTAAGAGTCTTACCAACTCAAATTTTCAACTTTATGATTTCTCAAATTTTAAATCTATACCATTTATGAAATTAAATGTTAATGTTTTTTTCCTTTTCCAGTATTGTATATGTTGTGATACAAAATTTGAATTATATAATCT